CAATCTTTAAGAGCTCGAAAAAAGCAAGGTTGAAAGACAGAAACAAGGGAGGGAAAGAAAAGAAGAAGGACCTACCAGTAGCACCCTCCAACCACCCACCTTTTAAAAGAAAGGCACAGGGTGCCAAAAGATAATTTTGGGGCAGTTGTAAACTTTAATTGAAAACGTTTTAGACCCACATTGACACAATTTAGACCATTTTGGAAGTCAGGACTGATGTGGATTAGTCCAAGGCCTACAGGATACAGCATTATGCCCAGAAATATGGGCATGATAAACATCCTTTTTCGTCTCCTTTTTTTTCTTTTTCGGGGGTTATTTTTAGATGAATGAGATAAATTGAGAGATGTTTTTCGTCAGAATGCAATGTACTGTATAACATGAGTTGCTAGTGTATTTGTAGAGTACTCAGAGCCTGCTTTCGTCAGTTTTTGGTTTTAGTAAGAGTTTTACGGCACTTGCAACACATATAGCGCATATAAAAGTGAAAGATTAGAGGTGACAAGAGAGTAACATAAGACAATAAGGAGACAATAGATGCCTGAGTTCTTTTAGTTTTAGTAAGAGTTTTACGGCACTTGCAACACAATAAGGTCATATAAGTGCCAATGCCGGAGTTCTTTAATCGGGATTGAGCGCTAGATAAATGATATATAATACTATTAATTATCATTATCATAATTATTATCATTATTGTTGATGACTCAAAAGCCGCAACTAACCATGGAAAAACTTTGACCCTGAAGTCTGCGGTGGGGACTGGGCCGTCACCAGGCTGTGGATCTGTTTCGGGGCTAACTGCAGGGCAGCTCCGGGAGCCCCCAGCCCTGTCACTTGGCCGACCGTTGCCCCGGTGATGTGCAGCTGGGAAGTGGGCGGGGCACCTGTCAGCTGGATCTGTCCAGCCCCGCCCACTGGGGCGTGGACCTGTGTGGTGGGCGTGGCCGGGGCGGGGCTTAGGGCGGGGTTAGGGGCTGCAGTTGGAGACTGCTGGACCAGCAACTGTTGACCTGAGGGGGCGGCGGAGTGTAGGTAAAAAGGTTAGAGGTCACGATAACAAAAAAGGAGTCAACATTTCTTGAGACTCTGGATACAGACATTGGACAACTAAGTCTTGTGCTCAGGGTCGGTTTTGGGTAACATTATTGGGTTTTTTTGGTTTTGGGAATACAGACATTGGACAACTAAGTCTTGTGCTCAGGGTCGGTTTGGGTAACATTATTGTTTGTTTGGTTTTGGGAAAGTTTTTCAGAACGAGTAACACAACAAGGTCCTAAAAGTGGCGAAGATAAGAGGGTGGGTGGTTGGCGGGTGCTCTGGTGTGGTTTGCTCCTTCTTTCCTATCAAACATCTATCGTCCTTAACTCCCCCTGTTTCTTTTTTATGTTTGTTACTCTCTTGTGACACCTCTAATCTTCTGGCGCTCATATGACCTTATGCAGTTGCGAGCGCCGTAAAACCTCTACTAAAACTAAAACTAAGAAGATAAGAGGTGTTACTGAACAGTACGTCATGTGTTGAAAGTGGCTTTGACTTTGACGACAATAACAAGACAACCAATACCGGAACCACGATAGAGTCTCATGGCTAGATCTAGACCCAAACGTAACAGCTGTTCAAACTTGACTCACACACTGGCATAAAAGCTTACACTACCACAAGATACTACACTCACTTCTCAATAAGTAGCAAAAAACATTTAATGAAGTAAGTTTAAAAAAAAACAAACTATAATCTGTTGGGTTTTTTAAAACTAGATCTACAAGCTTTTTTTTCCAAGTTACCCTCAACCAAACAGGTTTACCCAGAATTGCTTAGCACAGCAGTTAAGGGCATAGGTTTTCTTTCAGTACTGAATGAGTGAACAAACTACTGACAAGCAAAGCCACATCAGTCAACGCACATAGGTGTCACAACCAGGTAGAATCAGGCGCTCGTCAATTTTTGGGAAAATGGAGTTATTGGTATCATCTTAAAGCCTGTCCATTCGCCTTGCTTTAGATGAAAAAAATACCCATTTATCTTGGACACAAGTTGAGATATTGGCGATTGAAGGAGGTGGGGGTCGTATGGTTTCATAGGTAAAATTTGTGAAAAAATGGCTGCCAAAGTTTACTTATCTCCTCAGCTTGAGTGCCCGTGGAAACTGAAAATTTACATTTTTACGCATTTAATCAACATTTTCCAGTAAAATCTACAGGAAAATGTATTTATAATAGTCATAAAAGGTGCTGAGCTGAAAAACAAAACTTCAATAAAAAAAATTTTAAAACTTCAGAAAATATACCAGTTTCTCGGCTTCCATTATTTTGACGAGCGCTTGATTTGAGCACACTGCCCCACATAACAGTACGTCTTACCTGGCTGCACAGGACCCACGTACGCTTGCACGTACTGCACCCCCTGGATCGTCTCCCCTCCTTTGCCGCCAGAGGTCAAGGTCACAGCCTGCGGCATGTAGTTTACTCTGGGGACATGGAATAAGTCGTGTGTTAATTATGTTCTCAACTATCATTAAAATACAACAGAAATTGTCTCCAACCATTGCCTAAGACGGCCACTCATTATCAAGGTAAAGCTGGTTGACTGATTGATTGATTATTGATGGATGGATTGATTGAGTAGGTGTTTTACGGTACTATCGACTTAGTTTGGAAAAGATGGATGTCTTAATAAAGGTGGATGCCTTTCAGTGTCATTATAACGTAAAAAGCAGGGTAGGGGAGGAAATGGGAAGTGACTATTTATACAGGCTCGACTGTATTTTTTTCTGACAATACAAAAAAAACCAAACAACCAAAGTTCCTGCAACAAAGGGAAATATAAACATCTGCAAAACTAGGTTTGCCAACTCTTTTTAGCTTTAGAAGAGGTTTACGGCGCTCGCAACTGCATAAGGTCACATGAGCGCCAGAAGATTAGAGGTGTTACAAGAGAGTAACAAACATAAAAAAGAAGAAGGGGAGATAAGGAAGATAGATGTTTGATAGGAAAGAAGGAGCAAACCACACCAGAGCACCCGCCAACCACCCACTTGCCAACTCTTTCCAAAATCCAACCCGGGACATCCAACAACGATATCACCTCAGATTACAAAACAATTAACAAAATTACGTCAAGTCCAATTGGTTGCGGTGTAGTGTTTGTGATAAGTCTCTCAAATTGTGCGACCGTCTGGGACAATCCCAGGACACTCAGGACAGTACTGGCATAAGCCGACAAAATGGTATAAGCTGACAAAATGGCCTTTTTCATACTGGAGCCAAATTTGGTTATTCTCTCAATCGAAAGCCTAATCGGTTACCCTACCCGTGTTAAAAAATCTAGTTTTTAAATTCAAATTTCGGAAGAACTCTATTTTTAAATAGTTACCCTGACAAAAAAACTCCTAATTTTCTCGACACTGCTGTGAACAAAAGAAGGCGTTTGATCATTTAGGGCAGAGTAGGAAAAGCCTGCAGAAATACGAGACGGGGACAAACGGTCAAGTCCTTACTTCTGCGAGGTAGGCAGGAGAATCCTCTGTTGGCCTGGCCTGGCCGCACCCTGCATGAGGGCCGCCTGTGTCACCATGGTGCTGGCGGCCGGGCCGGACGCCGCCTGAAGGCCAGAGATGTTGGTGGGCGTGGCCATCGCCAGGCACACGATTGGCTGAGCAAACGTCTGCACTTGTTGCGGGGCTGTGCCTGCTGTCATGGCTGGTGGGGGCTGGACCAACATGGCCACCTGCAACAAAGCACAAAGGGTGGGTTTTACAGCTCTTGCAACACAAATAGGTCATATTAGGTTAAAGTTTAATGGCATTTAGAACACAAATCGGTCATATTTAGTCAGAGTTTAGTTTTTTTTTAGTACAGGTTTTACGGCGCTCGCAACTGCATAAGGTCATATGAGCACCAGAAGATTAGAGGTGCTCCAAGAGAGTAACTACAAACATAAAAAAGAAGAAGAGGAGATAAGGACAATAGATGTTTGATAGGAAAGAAGTCAGAGTTTAATGGCATTTAGAACACAAATACGTCATTAGTAAAAGTGCTGAAGATTAAGATGGATCAGTCTACTACACTAACCACTGCACCATCCATCACAACCACTAGATCAAACACAATCATCACAACAATCAAACACACCACCATCACCAAAATAAACCACTCCCCACCCAACACCATGCCATAGCCACACCCCCCACACAATCACCCACCCACCGACCACCCACCTGCTGCGTCTGAGACACCTGTGGATGTGACGTGACCCCCTTGGGGATCTGTATCTCCCCCCCCCCT